GTCTTTCATCCTGTCTTCCTTCTCTCTCCCCAACCGATCGCTCCTCCCTGAGCCTGGTTCTGCCGGAGGTTTCTTCCTGTTAAAAGGGAGTTTTTCCTTGTCACTGTCGCCAAAGTGCTTGCTCATAGGTGGTCATTTGATTGTTGGGTTTTTCTCTGTATGTATTACTGTAGGGTCTACCTTACAATATAAAGCGCTTTGAGGTGACTGTTGTTGTGATTTGGTGCTATATAAATAAAATTGAATTGAATTGAATTGAATTGAATTGAATTGAAGGGGAAAACTATTTTTTGAAGGCTTCTTTTAATGGCATTTCTTTTTTCATCTGCAGAGTCTTTTTCAAAGAAGGAATCAATGTTTCTTTTGCAATATGTCAAATCATGAGTAGGCTGTTGAGGTGGGAGTTAAGGACTTATCTACCTCATCATGCAAGAAATTAAAATGCCCCTCTCCGTGTACAACCACAATTCCACAAAAGTTGGATTGCTGTGTAAAATGTAGATAAAAAAACAGGGTGCAATCTTTATCAAATCTCATAACACACATTTCATTAATGATAGAACCTAGAAAACTGACTGGTTTAAACTGACAAAGATTTTTAAAAATGAGGTCATTTTGAATTTGATGGCAGCAACATGTCTCAAAAAATTGGGACGGGCCAACAAAAGGCTGGGAAAATGAGTGACGCTACAAAGAAAAGCTGAAGGAACAGAATTTAGGTTAAACGGCAACAGGTCAGTAACATGATTGGATATAAAAGAACATCTTAGGGAGGCAGAGTTTCTGAGAAATGAAGATGGGCTGAGATTCACCAATCTGCAAAAACTTGCAACTACAATTTGTGGAACAATTTGAGAATAATGTTCCTCAATATAAAAATGTGGAGAGAATGCTAGAAAATATCTTTACTGAAACCCAAAATCTTTTTCTATTATCGTAAAAGACCTTTTAGAATCATCTCTGGTGTAACTATGGTGGTGCAATATGATTTTCAACTTTGTTTGGTTGTTAGGGGCAGTAAAAGGAAAATATATGACTTCCCCCCCTGCTGTTTGCATCCAGAGCTGTCAACCCAAATGACACAGATGATCTTTGCACACAACACGCCACAATCCCGCCTCCATTTCCTGCGACAGTGCTATCTCTTCGTTTCAGACGATCTGCCTGTCATTAGCTTTATAGAATACGCACGATTTGCCGCTCAGCAAAGAACAAAACAAGCAGCGAGCCAAGAGGAGAGGAGAAAACCCTGCAGTGAGAAATGTGATGAAGAAGAGGATGCCTTACAGAGAAGTGGCGAGGAGGGGGGAGAGAAGTGCTGAATTATAGATGAGGAGAAATCAGTTTAAGAAGCACAGAGATCAGTGACTCAGAGCACAAACACACTTACAGAGCCCTAAGTGTTTTTCAAG